ATATTTTCCCTGTAGAATCCTTTAGTATTGGAACTGGAGGCTTGAATTTTTTCTTCAGTTCTTTCAGCTTGAGAAATGCTGAGTGTGTTCTTCCCTTTTGGCTTCCTATCTCCAGGTCTTTGCACATGTCATCATAATACTTTATTTTGTCTTCTCAAGCCACTCTGAAATCTTCTGTTCACCTCTTTTACTTCATTATTTTTTCCTTTTGCTTTAGGTACTTGACGCTCAAGAGCAAGTTTCAGAGTCTCTTCTGACATCCATTTAGGTCTTTTCTTTCTCTCCTGTCTTTTAAATGATCTCTTGCTTTCTTCATGTATGATGTCCTCGATGTCATTCCACAACTCGTCTGGTCTTTGGTCATGAGTGTTCAACGCATCTAATGGGAATAGATTTCTAAAATTAGAACTGGCCACAACTGGTTTGATCTGTCAGAAGTTTTAATTTTTGTCTTACAAAAACTTTAAACTATAATACATAGGAAAACAAGATTCTTCTTGTAGTATATATGATAAAAAGTTCATATTTTTATATAAAGTTGCTGAAAAAATAAAAATAAGACACTATTGCTGAATAGTCAAATACTATAAACACTTCACCCAAAAGTGGAAAATATAACTAGTAAATATGGAAAAATATTCATCCCTTCACTAAAAATTTGAAATGAAAGCAATGAATAAGATATAGATTTACACTTGAGGATATCTTTGAGATAATATTTCCTGATATTTTCTCTCCCAACTTCCCATTGAAAGACATAAGGACCCATGAAGATATAGAAAAATACAAAAGCTTTAACAGTACTGAAAACTAAGGGTAATAATTAATCTTCTGCAAGAGTTAGGGAAATATTTTTCCAAAGGTACATATAGATGAAGATGGACTAAGAGCCGCAGGGAATATCTTTATGTACTTAACCCCCTGAAAGGAGCAGCAGTGCTGGCCAGGAAGGAAGAAGGAAGAAAACTTGACCCTCTACCACTGCTAAGCCCTTAACTCAGAAGGTATTCACCATCCAGAAACCTGGGCAGGTGCCCCGACATTGTGTTGGGTACTCCAGCCAACAAAAGAGAATACTCTCATCACGGAGAATGCAGGAATGTGGACATTGTTCTATCAAAATGACTAGTGATGAGCACTGGAACCAGTTTATGCTCAAACTAAATCATGATAAGTTTACTTAACTGAATGCAAATGGCAAGACTGATTCTTGAAAAAGATGATAGAATGTAAAGACAATAATACTGATCTAGGGATAATATATCGGATTATATTAACCAAATAAAAATATAATCTGATAAATTATCCCTAGGTTATATTAACCAGTGGAGCCCTGGTGGCACAGTGGTAAGCAGTTGGCTGCTAACCAAAGGTTGGCAGTTTGAATCCACCAGCCACTCTTTGAAAACCCTATGGGGCAGTTCTATTCTGTCCTGTAGGGTCGCTGTCTTAGTCATCTAGTGTTGCTGTAACGGAAATACCACAAGTGGATGGCTTTAACAAAGAGAAACTTATTCTCTCATAATCTAGTAGGCTACAAGTCCAAATTCAGGGCATGAGTTCCAGAAGAATGCTTTCTCTGTCGGCTCTGGAGGAAAGTCCGTGTCATCAATCTTCCCTTGGGCTGGGAGCTTCTCTGCGCAGGAACCTCAGGTCCAAAGGACGTGCTCTGCTCCTGGCACTGCTTTCTTAGTGGTATGAGGTTTCCATTTGTCTCTGCTGGCTTCTCTCTTTTATATCTCAAAAGAGATTGGCTTAAGACACTATCCAATCTTGTAAACCTCATCAGTATAACTGCTACCAATCCATCTTATTAGATCATAGTGATTGAGTTTACAACGCATAAGGAAATCACATCAGATTACAAGATGGTACACAATCATACAGTACTGGGAATCATGGCCTAACCAAATTGATACACATATTTTTGGGGGGATATAATTCAGTCCATGACAGTTGCTGTGAGTTGGAATCAACTTGACAGGAGTGGGTTTGTTTTGGTTTATATTAACCAAGAGGATGTGAAAGATGTATGATAATGGAAGAATACTAAATTCTCCACCTTACATTTGGGTAATCAAAATACATTGTTTCATTTTATACTTTGGTAATTACAGAAGCTATGTTTTTAAAATGGCTTAATAGAGAAGTATATTTTTGAAAATGTTAAAAAATAACTGTTGTTAGATTTTAAATCAGAATATATTTTTCAAATCACTGTGGGAAATAAAAGCAAAATAGTCCCTATAGCAAAAGACACAAAACGAAGGAAATAAGAAGGAAGAATAAACACAGAAAGTATGAAATAAATGAAGAAAACAAGGAACATTAATAATGACAATATATTATTGAAATTCCCTGTATTTAAGATTTTTTTTTTTTGTTTTTGTTTTTTTGGTTGCAAGTGACAGAATCCCAACTTGAACTAATTTAGGCAAAGAGGAAATTTTCTGATTCACATGATTAAAGCAGGGAAAGGTGGGAGTAAAGGTGAGGGCCTGAGGGTTTGCTGAGACCCAAAGCTTGAATGCTCCCAGGATTCTCTTATTTCTCATAAGCAGAGCAATGGTCCCTCAGTGATGCCCATGTCTTAGTCCTCGGCACCTATGAATGTGTTAGGTTATATGGCTGTTATGGAATGAATTATGCACCCCCCCAAAAAAAATATTGAAGTTCTAACCCCTTTACCTGTGAACGTGACTTTGTTTGAGGAAACGGGGTTTTTTTGCAGATGTTATCAGTTAACAACATCATCGGAAGTAGGGTGGGTACTAATACTATATAACTGGTGTCTTATAAAAAAAAAGGAGGACAGACATGGAAACAGAGCTTCACACAGGGGGAAGACAGCATGTGAGACTCCATTTATAAGCCAAGTAACACCAAGGATTGCTGGCAGCCACAAGAAAATAAGAGACATGGAACAGTTCCTCTCTCAAAGCCACCAGAAGGAATCAACACAGCCAAGACTCTGATTTGGACTTGTAGCCTCCGGAACTGTAAGAAAATGAATGTCTGTTCTTTAAGGCCACTCACTTTGTGGCATCTTTTTATGGCAGCTCTAGGTAACTAAAACAATGGCAAAGGGAAATTCGAGTTGTCTCTGGGATTAAGGTTGCTGATCTGCTGGCCTTAAAATGGGGTAATTATCCTGGATTTATCTGGGTGGGACCAATATAATCATAAGGGTCCTTGAAAATGGAAGAGAGAGAAAGAAGAGAGTTCAGAGAGAAATGTGTTTGTGGAAGAAAATCACAGAGAAATGCAATGTTGCTGACTTTGAAGATGGAGGAAGGAGTCCAAGAGCCAAATAATGTGAGTGGCCTCTAGAAGCTGGAAAAGGCAAGGAAACAGATTCTGCATCCAGAGCCACCAGAAGGAAACACAGCCCTGTTGATATCTTGATTTTTTCCCAGTGAAACTGATTTGGGACTTCTGACATCCTGAACTGTAAGATAATAAATTTGTATTGTCTAAACCACTAAGTTTGTGGTAATTTGTTACAGTAGCAATAGAGAACCAATACACCATCCTAACTCTTTTGGCTTATGTGTTGACATTGTTTTATCACACTGGCTTCTTCTACAGAGTTGGGCATATGTCTGCCGCTAGTATTCAGGGTGCTATGCCCCAGCTTCACCACAGAGAGATTGAGACTGACTCTTGTCCCAGGTTCAGATACCAGGAAAGTGCTGTGACCGGCCCAGCTTGCCTCACAAGTCTATCCCTAGACCCAAGGAGGCAGGGTCATGTAGTAAGTACACAGAAGCCCACACTAAGAGCTGTGGGGTAGAAGCAGAGGAAGGAGAATGCCAGGAGGATATGAATATTTGATGCTTTTCTTAGGAGCACAGCTGCACAAAGTAATAAATGCTTACCACAATATAGCTTAGGAGGTTGGGGAGAATCCCAGATTGGTTTAAAAAAATAAAATTCTAATATAGGCCACTAGCCAAAAGAATCTAAATCCAAGTGGTCTAGACACTTTTATAAGCCCAAGGATGATCAAAAATACCAGTAAAAGGTAAACAAATAGAGAAGGAGTGGCAATATTAATATCACACTGAGTTAAATGCAAGACAGAAGGATTGAATGTGAGGTTTATGTGTCAAAGATGGCAAGCAGTGGTGACTCGTGGGTTCTGGGTTTTGTTTCATAAAACCTGCTGCTCATTTCACTTTTGAATTTATTACTGCAGCATTGACAGTATGTGCTATTTCCTACTTTGGAAATGGAGAATATGGATGAGGAGCAAGTTTGGGTGGGGAGAGGGAAGCAAGAGGCTCTGCTGTTAACCTGTTAAAGGTAACTGTCTACTAACTATACAAGTAGAGTATCAAATGGGCCACTAGCTAGTAAGTATATTGTCAGTTTGGCTTTAGCCCAATCTTTACGTATTAGAAATAACACTACAATGAGCATCTTCAGGTATACAGGCTTTTGATATATATTATTTAAATATTTTTGAAGAGTATAATGTCAGTTATAAATACATTCTACAGGGGAGGAGGACATAATGATTTTAAATGCAGAAATTTTATGTATGGAGCAAGGGGAAGTAAAGGAAATTCCTATTTCCTGACCTCTATTTTCTTAAGTTAGTACATTTCCTTTCAGGCATTGTTAGATGCTGACTATTAGATGCTGACTAAGCAATCATTTAGGTTAAGAGTTTTTAAGCGAATCACATAACAATTCTATTACCTCAAAAAACTGGAGAACCAGATTATGATGTATATAAAATACATATGTGCTCATTTTATTAATGGGATTGTGAATAGTAAATTTTAGATTCTAGAAAAATTCTTTCACTCATTTTTGTTTAAAAATATTTTTTCAGTTTCTATTATGTCCCAGCCACTATTCTACATGCTGGGCTTCAATAGAGAGTTAGATAAATTAGCTCTAGAGCAACTAACAGGCAATTATTTTGGAGGAAGAGACTTACAAATGTTACGTTTATAGTACTAATAACATTTAAAATATATTCTCTATTTTAGCGCTGCAATAGTATTTTCCATACTTAAACTTCTCCAGGATTCAAAAATTTTTAAAAAGAAGGTAGTGCAAGATGACATGGAGAGTTCCATTCCTTCAGGAACTTCTGTATGTATGAATTTAATGTTTATCTTTACAATGCTTATTATATAAGAATTATTGGCATGCTGGGAGGTTGTCTAATTATTTGGATGAAGCAGAGATGAAGTAGAAAAAAAACTGGACTCTGTGTCAAAGATCTGTATTTTAAGTCCCATTTCTACTATTTCTTAACTGGTATAAATCGGGCAAATCCTTAAAATTTTTTTTTTTTTTTTGGATTTTGTAATCTCATCTGTGAGTTGATAGACTTGAATGTAGTAATCACTGAAGTCCCATCCATGTGTATCATTCTAGGATTCTCTGTCTGATCCCACTAGCAAATATAATTGTTTCACAAAACTTGCTTCTCATTTCACTTTCAAATTATTACTTCAGCATTGACAGTATGACACCTGTCCTATTTCCTACTTTGGATTCCTGATAGTTAGACTCTTCCACATTTAAGCTCTCAAATTCACTTGACAACTGGTGTCACAAATTCTTTGGCATTTCATTGGACTTGGATAAGGCAAAATAATTTAACAATATAGGGTTGTATAGAATTATAGATTCATCACACAGAATCCTTCCTCATTAGTTTAAGCTTTACTAATAAAAAGCTAATATTAACATAATTACAAATTAGCAAAAACTAATTGTTCATAGATAACTCATTTCTTTACTATATTAAAAGCAGTAAGTGCTAAAAAGCAGTCTAATTCTAAAAATGGGCTTAGAAAAATGGTTCTCAGCTGGGAGTGATTTTGCCTGTCAGGGGGCATATGTCAATGTCTGAAGACATTTGGAGTCCCTGGGTTGTACAGGTGTTTAATGCACTCAGCTACTAGCTGAAAGGTTGGAATTTTGAGTCCACCCAGAGGCATATTGGAAGAAAGGTCTGGTGATCTACTGCTGAAAAATCAGCTATTGAAAACCTTATGGAGTACCATTCTACTCTGACACACATGGGCTTACCATGAGTTGGAGCTGACTTGAAGGCAACTATTTTTTTCATGAGAAGACAGTTTTGGTTGTCACAACTAGATCTGCTACTGGCGTCTAGTGGATAGAGGCCAAGGATATTGCTAAAACATACTACAATGTGCAGACAGCCTCCACAAGAAAGAATTATCTGGTCCAAAATGTCAATAGTGCTGAGGTTGAGAAACCCCAACTTAGATTAATGACTTTGACATTTCAGTAGTAACAGGAAATGTAGGTCTTGAGAGCTGAGGTATATTGAGAGACATTTTTTCAGTATTACCGTCTTAGAAACCTTATGGGGCAGTTCTACTCTGTCTTATAGGGTTGTTATGAGTTGGAATCGACTAGATGGCAATGGGTTTAGTTTTTTTTTTTAATCTAAAATACCAGACTCCTCCAGTACTCAATCTGTCCTCATATGCTAATCACCATCCTGTCTCTGGCCTCTATTCAGTGCTTACTTTGTTCCCAGGAACGGCCCACTCTCTTCCTCCTGTGAGAACTCACTCAAGGGCAACTACACAACAGCAACAGCATCGTTATTCTAGTCCCCTTCAAGGCCGGGTGTAAAGAGCTGCTCTTTTATACAAGGTGTTGCTGGTTAGTTGGGAGATGATGAGCTGTCAGGGATGCCTTGGCAGGAGATTCCTAGAACAAACGGGGTTGACCGAGGTGATTTTACAGTTTCTTCCAATCAAAGTGTCTAGGATTGATTCCACCTAGAAAAAAATCACCTTGAACCTACATCACACACAGTAGCTCTGGAAAGTCCCCACTCCTTTGTAACATGTAATAAGAAGGATGTAAATCAATTATCATAAAGCATTTGGATGTAACATGAGCAGCATACAGCAGTGTAACACAGTGGCTTAATTCCAAAAGACACAGGTTTGACTATCACCTCTGCCAAAGTATAATAGAGTTTAAGAAATCAGATAGATAGTTAACCTTTCTAGGTCTCAAAACTCCCACTTGTAAAATGGAAATAATAATATCCCCTCTTTGGCTTGTTGGAGGACTAAATGAGATAATGTGTGTAAAGCATGCAGCCCATTGCTTGGCACATAGTAAACACTCAGTCAATATTATTTACTCATTTTCAGTCTTTAAAATGATGTTTATAAAAACTTTGATGACGTGGAAAATGCCAATATATAGTTTGAAATGAGAAACTCGGACTCTAAAACTATCTTTCAACAGTGGGTACACAGAGAAAAAGAAAAACTGAAAAACAGTATACCAAGTGTTAATAGGAAATTGTGGGAGATTTTATTTATTTATGTTTGATTTGTATATTTTTAATATTTTATAGAACACTCAAAAACAATTTCTAAGATTAAACATTTGATATTATTAAATGATACTGAATGCTTCCCTTAACTTACTTTACATTTAGTGTTAGTATTAGGCCAGAACTTTGCCATTATTAAATGGGAAGATAACCATCATTTTAATTTTGTTGTAGACCACTGAGAATAAAGAAGATGAATTTTTAGATCCTATTTCCCTAAATTCCCGAGAATATTTCAACATTCATCTGTGGTTGAGGTGCCGCTTAGCATTGGTGACTGCGTTCGTCGCCCAGGTTCGTGGCATCGGAATCATGAAAGGTATAAATGTCCCATTTTCTTAATTAGTATTTTCATAAACATTAATTTTATTTAGATGAAGGGGGTTTTATTGGGATATATTTTATTTTAACATTAGCAATTTTTAGCTTCTTAGCTTGATTTTTTTCCAGAATAAAAAATTCAGGTTATTAAATAGAATAGACATTTTCAACAGTCCACTGTATCGCTGAAAATGGCATGTGTGTTACTGATATATGCGAAACAGGCAAGGAGATTTCAAAATCTCCAGGTCTTCTTGTCATCTAGGCAGGTGGCGTAGCGTAGGGACTGAGAACAGAGTCCGGAGACACTCCGCTTGTGTTCACATGCTGCCTCCACCATTTACTTGCAGTATGACCTTGGCCAAGTCTCTTAATTCTATGGTGCCTCAGTTTCCTCCTCTGTAAAATGGGAATAATAATTGCTTGCACCTTCCTCATAGGGTCGTTGTCAGAATTAAATGGGTTAAACTTTGTAAAGTTCTTAGAGCAAAGCCTGGCACATAGAAGTGTAAGCTCTTTGTATACCCATCTATCCATCTCCCAAATTAAATTATTCATATAATCTCATTATTACTTTTGCAGTATTGGAATATCCTAAAGTACTTCCCCCCAAATTATAACACATTTCTTTTTAATGCTTAATGTAAAGTCTATTTGTTTTCCGTCTTTATACCCTCCTGTTCTTCTATACTACAGTATTCTTGTGATGAAAACTGAGGATATTACATACATATGAGTTATTTTCTCGATGCGTTTTTAAATAACCGTGTTTGTTTATTTTAGAAAATGATATGACAGATTGTGTGAGCCTCATCAATGAAGCGTGTGTGGAGGCAGAGAATGCAGGTGACATGGAGCTACAGGCTGAGTTCTTGATGCAAGCTGTAATCCTTGGCCTGCAAGAAAAGCATTTAAAGGCAGACATTATCACGAACCTTCAGGTAGGGAGGAAGCCTTGTTTACATTTATACTTGGGGAAGGATTTCAGTTAGAACAAAAGGAGGGGGTTGGCACTGAGCCTGTACCAGTCAACATGGCCAGCTCTTCTTTCAGTGAATGGGAAACGGCTATCAAAAGGAATTGTTTTCTTTTTTTTTAATAGGCAATAATACATTTGCTTGAAGGAAATCAGTTTATTTCTCCTCGATCTCATTTAACCCTGGTGAGAAGCTTACTTTTGTTGGATGACTTAACAAATGCTGAGACATTCAAGGAATCTCCCTCTTCAAAAACAGATCATTTAACTTTGTTGACTCAGTCTCATAACATTCTTATTGATCAGGTGAGAACGCTTTCGTGCAGACTTAGAAACTTACTTTCTTGTCTCTTTTCTTATTCCAAACCACATTAACTAATTGCTCATTACTTTTTTTTTTTTAATAGATGCTAACTTTTGGAGAAACAATTGAATTTCCAGTATCAAGCACTGAATATGCAAATCCACTACAGCCTTTGAAAAATATCTATCTTCCTCATGTCATGTTATTGGCCAAAATAAAAATGAGAATTGGTAAGAATATTTAAATACATTTTACACCAGAGTCAAAGATGAAAAAAATGAAGTTATTTTCAGGCAGGTTATCATGCAAATGCATTTAAATGGGACAGTATTCATAACACCCATGCTTTATTTATTCAACAAATAGTTTTTGATCAGCTACAATGTGCCAGACTATGTGTGAGGCTCTAGGAAGTTATTGGAGATTAAAACAGATATAGTCCTTGTTCTTAAAGTAGGAGACAGAAATAAACAAGTAAACAAAACATATATAGGAGTTATATGTATTATGTTATATTATGTTATATTGTATTATGTTATACTACACTACATCATACTATATCACATTATATATAAATTACATGTAAATTATTTAAATTATACATAATGAATTATGTATATAATTATAATCAGGTCCCTGAGTGGCACAAATGGTTTATGCTCGACTACTAACTGAAAGGTTACTGGTTCAGCTTACCCAGTGGCTCTGTGGGAGAGAGGCCTGGAAATCTGCTTCTCTATAGATAACAGCCAAAAAAACCCTATGGAATAAGTTCTACTCTGTAACACATGAGGTTGCCTTGAGTCAGAATCAACTCCATGGCAATGGGTTTGGGTGTTTTTTTTTTTGGTTTATGTAATTGTACGTTGTGATTAGTGTTAAGAAAGAAGTAGAAAAGGTCTGCTGATAGAGAGTAATGAAGGAGGTGTGCCTATTTAAGTAGAGTCATTGGGGAGGTAGTATTTAATTCTAGACCCTATATACTTATACATAATGGAGGCATAGGGAGCAGCGAGTTGTAGACTCTGAAGTCAGTAAGAGCTTGATATGTGCCTGAACTGAAAAGAGACCAGTGCAGCAGGAGCAGAGTGGGCGAGGGCAGCCTGAAGGGAGGAGTGTGAGGAGGTAAGCTGGAGACAGATCACGCAGGGCCTGTAGGCATGGTGGGGAGGTTGGTGTTTATTATACACGTAGTAGGAAGCCACTGATAGGTTTTAAGCAGGACAGTGACATAATATTAATAGTTGCTAATACCTGTATTTGTTGATGTTGATAGTTGTCAAGTCGGTTCCTACTCATGATGACCCCACGTGGGCAGAGTAGAACTGCTCCACAGGGTTTTTAAAGCTATGAGCTTTCAGAAGCAGATTGCCAAGCCTATCTTCTGAGAAGCCTCTGGGTGGGTTCAGACCGCCAACCTTTCAGCTAGTAGTCAAGTGCTTAACTGTCTGGGCCACCCAACGACTCCTAACACTAGTATAGCATATGCAGTGTGCCAGGGACTGTTCTAAAGGGCTTTATATATACTAACTCATTTAGTCCTCACAGCAGGCTTATGAACTCGATACTGTTATCCTCATTTTATAGTGAGAAAACTGCAGCACCGTTTATGTTTTAAAAAGATTACCCTGGCTGCTGTATGAAGAATATTCAGTAATGCTGTTCTTAGCTCTCTCACATAGAAACTGACCACTTCAGTTTATTAAATCTAAATATACCAGCCAAAGTCCAATTCCCTGTTGAGGCACCAGGAGAAGCTACAAAGGTCAGGGTTGTCTGGCTTCAGGAGTAGAAAGGACTCAGCCCATCTGTTTAGACCCCTCCTAGCTTCACAGAAACTGGCTGGAGGCAGCCACAGTGCTGCCCTTCTCTGGAGTTCACAAGCTGATCAAGTTTCAATCTCTCTCTATGACACTGTCTCTGATCTTTGTCCCAGGACTGCGTGACTCTAGTGCTCAGACCAGAGGGCAAAAAATCCCTCTGTGCTTACCCAAAACCTTCCAGGGGCCACTTTCCTCCTGTACTAGCAGCTGCTCAGCTAGGAAAGGCTGATGGTTGGACTGGAGTGGAGAAGGGAGGGCGGCAGGGGCATGCTCAAGCCATCATCCACCCAGAAGTTTCCCCATTACCCACTTCTGCTCCTCCCCTTCCTATTATCATTGACTGTTGTTATTATATGTGTTATGGTTACCCTTCAAAAACAGGCGGGACCCCCCACCCAAAATTTGGTTCTGATGCCAAGACTGTTGACGCCACACACACACATCAATATGATAAGAAAAAGTTTATTACTCACATAACTGAGGTCTCTGGGCTAGCAGGGCATCCCTCTCAAGAAGGTCTGAAATGGCTTGAGAGAGCAAGGAAAGGAGACTGGTTTTTATTGTGGTTAGGGGATGGGGCTGGAGTGCGGGTTCCCATGAGTGCATGAGTAGAGGCTTGCATGGTTTGAATCTCCCACTGGCCTCAAAAGGAGGGAACACCAGTCTTTCTTATCAGCTTGTCCAGTGGGGCAGAAGGGAAGAGGGAAGGGTGAGGCTTAAAAGCTGTCAGCAGTGAAACATCAAAAAATGGAGTCAGACTCCTTGTTACAATATAACAGCATCATCATCATCGTATATACATCTTATTTAGGTAAATCACTTCACCTGTGTATTCTTGAATTTCCTCATTTGTAAAATCAGATTGGCCTTGCTGGCTTCTAGGGTTCCTTCTAGCTCTCTGATCCCACAAGAGCTATTTTTCTGCATTTTTAGTTCATAAGTTGTTGTAGTGTCAGGGCATTTGATTTCTACAGGAGTTTAAAATACAGATTGTGTTAAATTGTACAGATTGTGTTAAATCAAATGTATTCTCTGCTTTCCTGTTTTACTAATCTTGAAGATGTGTCACCACTCAATGACAATACTGTTGCTGTTTTTTAGATTCACTTGAAACTGAACAGCTTGCTTTTCTGTTAGATTATATTAAATACAGACTTAAAAAACAAAACCAGAAACAGCTTTTCTGTCAAAACAATGTCAACTTCCCAACTTCTTTTTTCACAGAGTTGATGTTTATTGGAGAAAGGAGCATTTCAATATTATGAAGCATAAAATAATTCGTGACTTGATGCTTTCTTGACAGTTTTCCTTTATAGTGATAGTATAGATTACATACAAGAATAGAGCCACTTAAACTTTTTTATGTGTAAAAGCCTCTGACAGAAAAATAGGACATTTTTCAATCACTTCTATAAAATAAAAAAATAAGTATCATGGTTATTTAATATTATTTTTCCTGTTAATGACTGAACACTGAGCTTCCTTATTTGATGAAAAAGTAGATTACTGATTATATAATAGGAATGAATGAGTTGCTTAAATTTCTTAGTCAGTCAACAAATATTATTGAGCACCACTTACGGCAAGAATGAGGTCAGAGAGTAGAGATTTAACAGAGAGCTAGTCACCATCTCTGCCATCAAAGAGCCTATTATCTGTTGAGGAGAGAAAGGAGAAGTAGTCAAAAATTTCTGTAATGATGCTTTTTCTAATATTAACAAAAATCTCAAGGATAAGTAATGTATTATGACATATAGGTTCCCCAATGACATGCAAGTATTTGATATTTTTATCACATATTAATAAACAGCTACAATATCACTTGAAACATTAAGCAAAATCTATAAAAATGGGAAGTGTATTGAAGTATGAGATTGTTCTGGACATATCCTTACTTCCTTGCTTGGGTAATGTTGGGGTTAGGAGTGTGGACTCTGGAGAAAAAATCATGTTGAAATCCCTGGTGCAAGTCTTTGAACTTCGCTGTTTGAGTTTCCTCCACTACAAAGTGTAAATAAGAAAAGATCTGGCTTGCTACGGGATTCAGCAAGTTGAATGTGTAACATGTTTAGAAGGGTGTCTAGCTTGTTCTAAGAGCTTTGTAACCAGTTGCCATTGAGTTGATTCCAACTCATGGCATCCCTATGTGTATCATAATAGAATTGTGCTCCATAGGATTTTCAATGGCTGATTTTTTTGGAAGTATATCTCCAGGCCTGTCTTCCAAGGCATCTCTGGGTGGACTTGAACTTCTAAACTTTCAGTTAGTAATCAAGCGAGTTAATCGTTTGCACCACCCAGGGACTACAAGAGCTTTGTAGGTGTTAGTTATCCTTACTATTCCATGCTTCACTTCCTCAAGACTCTGGCTTGTCAATCTCTGTATCCTTAGCAGTGGACTACCATTCCTGCTTGGTTTAGAGTAAGGACTCAGTAACTTCCCCCTGGATGAAAGAAAAAGAACAAGAGAAAGGAGGATTTTATGGGGAGAGGGAAGGGGCAGGGAGGGGAGGGAGGGTAAGGAAGGGAAGAGAGAGACAGTGTTTAGCTTTCTTTACCATCCTGCCATTCATATAGCACATTCCTGAACTAAAAATTTACAAGAAGTTCTAGGTTTCTTGAAAACCCTTTGTAGGGCATAGCATCTTAGAGTCATAAAATTTCAGAACCTGAAGGGACCTTAAATATTTTCTAGTTCTGCTGCCTCAATTTTCAGAGGAAGACATCCAAGGGCTAGAGGCGTGTCGGGACTTGTCCCATGTTTCAAATGACACTGTAACACCAGTGACTGACCAGGATCCAGCGCTTCAGTAAGAACCCAGCGTCTGTATCATTCTGCAATCCTACATGCCTTTCTGTCTATATTCCCCTGTTGTGCATGTTAAAATATCTCCTTAATGTAGTATCTCCCCTAGTTGCCTTCTATTCTTTATCCCAATGTTTTTCTTCTTTAAAATTATAAAAAGGCAGGGGAATCATCAGCTGTGGCTTAGACATACATGCTCTCTGGGATGCTCTCCCTGACTTTTCCCTGGTCTGGGCTAGGACTCCCTGTAACTTGCTGCCAGGTGCCATATGCTTCGCCTGCCACATGACCATCACCAAGTACGTTGGCTGTCCAGCCACTTGTATTCCCCGTTAAACACTAAGCTCCATGATCTCCCTGTTAAGAGGCAATGCAGTGCCATAGTTAAGGGCATTGGCCCTGGATCTAGACTGCCTATGTTCAAATCATAGCTTACAAGCCATATGTTCTTGGGCAAGTTCCTTAAAGCTCTCTGTGCTCTACTTTCTCTCCTGTAAAATGATCATAATAATGGTATTTACTCAGAGTTGTGAGGATTACATGAAATAATACGTGTTAAGTATTTGGGTGGTGCTTGGCGTGGAGGAATCTCATATAATCTTAGATTTAATACATCTTAGCTCTTACTATTCTTTCTTGTTTTTATCCAGTGCCTAGCATAGTACTTCGTCCACAGTAAGAACTCAGCAAATATTTGTTGAGCAAATGTCTGTCTGTCTGTCTTTGAGGCCACACAGAATAAATCTAATGCCTCTTCTACACAACAATATTTCATGTATGTTAAGTGATGGTGGATCCATACAAGATGTATATAGCATGTAGCCTTTGTCCATAATGATGACAAACAATTGCATAGCCAGCAACCACTATAAATGTTAAACAGAAAGAAAATAACTAGCTATTAGTGTATGCAAATTTATGGGGAACAACATAAATCTTCCAGATGCATCCCTACTAAATTAGCCTCATAATAAGAACATGGAGATTGCATTGTAGAGCGTCATGAAATTTTAGAACTGAAAGAGCCTTGGGAGATTATCCTTCATTTTAAAAATGTCAGATATGTTGGAAATTTATCAGAGATAATGTTGTAAGGGTCTGTTGTTGTAGCTCATTGAAATATTGGGTATTGTGTTTCTTCGAAATTTCTTAGATGCAAAAAAGTGTAAAGACCACCAGAGTTGTTAACAGATACGGTTTCTGTGAGAGAAGTCTGGTAATATGAAGGCTTCTTATGAAAACTGTATACTTTATTCTTATCTCCCCATCCTACTGTGTTTCTTTTAGGACATACAGTGGCCAAGGAAATATGTTATACCAATAAAAAGAAGGACCCCTCAAAGTGGTTACCTGCTCTTAATCTCTTTGAAATGGCATTGAAGCTTTGTAAGATATCAGCAATAGAAGAACATGAGGTAGAAGCTGAAATTCTTTTTCAGAAAGGTAAAATGTGCATGGAGTCCAAATTATGATAATGCTTATAAAACTTATTTTCCTATTAACAATAGGCTTCTTGAAAAATCTGGTCACTGTCTATAAAAAATATAGATTTTGCAAAGGGCTTAATGGTGACAAACACATTGGTACTCCTGCCAAACTCAGTTTTAGAGAAAAGAACACTACTAATTTTCATTTTCTATATCACAAGGAAAAAGTACTATTTAGCTTCTTTTATAATTATAGTTGACCCTCTTTACATAAGTTTTGTGTTTCATTAAAAAATGTTAACATTGGCCTCTTAGCTGTAAGGAATGTTACTTAAATTATGCTTGGAAGATTTTTTTTTTTCTATGTGATTGCAGTACTTAGCTAAGCATTTTGGTTAATTTGTATAACTAAGAGTTACCCATTTAAATTAAGTAGCTATGTTGTTGTTATGTGCTGTCAAGTCAATTCCAACTCGTAGCGACCTTATATGACAGAGTAGAACTGCCCCATAGGGTTAACTAGGCTGTAATCTTTACAGGAGCAGATCGCCAGGTCTTTTCTCCTGCTGAGCCACGGGTGGGTTTGAACCACAAACCTTTCAGTCAGCAGCTAAGTGCTTAATCATACCTATATTTATATGTAACACATATTTGCTACATTTATATTACTTTCTTGTGGCCAGTTTATCCATGAGAATAACAATGATGGTGATAACAATGATGATTGCTATTGTTTTTTGAGCATCTACTAGATACCAAGCATTGTAGTCAGTGTTTTATATCTCATATTGCTCTTAAGGTAGGCATGACTAATTCTGGTTTACAGATGAGGAGCATGAGGTGCATACAAGTTAAGCAACTTTATGAAAGCCTGCATCTACTAAATGACAGTGCCCAGATGTGAACTCAACTATAACTGGCTCTGTGCCCTTTTTGCATATTGCATGAAAACTGTGAATCCTCTTAATAGTGATTATAAGATTTTCCTCTCTTGTCCTTTTTTGCTCTCAATGTGCCATTCCAGTACCTACCCTTGAAAGCCACGGCTCACCATAAGGGCTGGAAGATGTGTAGGAAGTAGACCATTTCCATCCTCCATGATGGTTTTCCAACGTTTGCTGACCTTTTAGGATTTGTTTTTAACAGAGATGTTTTCTATTATCTCTGTGACAGTAGATAAGGGAAAGAGGAGAATAGATGTAGGAAAAAAGGAGTGTGAACTACAGGAGGAGGAAGAAGCACGAAGTAAGGAAATGGAGAGAAAAAATAAGACGGAAAGAACAGCTGTGTTGGGGAAAGCAAAAGGAGTGTATGACTTAACTGTCCCTGCTTTGAGTCTCTTCCACCTCCACTGACTGAAGGCAGGGGAAGCCATTCACTGGACAGTGCCAGCCTGGCTAGTCCCAGCCCTGGGGACTCCTGGAAAAAACAAGCAATAGGTCTTTCTCCATCGGATTACCTTCTTGCAGGAGACACACACAGGCACACTCAGTTTCTCAATTTCCAGCATAAATATTTGTTCCTAAGTTCTCACTGATATAAAAAGGGAAAAATCATCTTTGTATATCTTTTTTTTCTTTCAGGCAAAATAGAATGCCAAATATTGATGAACCAGAAATCTCCACATTTCCAATATGAGAGTTTATTTGAAGCTATACAACTAAGCCTGAAAAATGATCAAAACTCAGGGTAAAAAAAATTCAAAATATCTTTACAGTTTTGTAGCAATATGTGTGTTTTGGTTTTAGCCCCATCTTCTGAAACAACATCAAATATTCAAGGCTGGAATGATGGGGAGGCCACTTCATGTCCGGGCTACTTCACTGGAGTTGTTGTTAGGTGTCGTCGAGCCGGTTCTGAATCATAGTGACCCTATGTACGAAAGAATGAAACACTGCCTGGCCCTGCACTATCCTCACAATTGTTGCTGTGTTTTAGCCCATTGTTGTAGCGACTGTGTCAGTCCATCTTGTTGAGGGTCTTCCTCTTTTTCGCTGACCCTCTACCTTACCAAGCAAGATGTCCTTCTCCAGGGACTGGTCCCTCCTAATAACATGTCCAAAGTACCTGAGACAAAGTCTTGCCACACTCTGTTCTAAGGAGCATTTTGGCTGTACTTCTTCCAAGACAGATTTGTTCGTTCTTCTGGCAGTCCATGGTATATTCAATATCCTTTGCCAATACCATAATTCAAAGGCATCTATTCTTCTTCGGTCTTCCTTATTCACTGTCCAATTTTCACATGCATACAAGGTGATTGAAAATACCATGGCTTGGGTCAGGCTCACTTTAGTCTACAAGGTGGTATCTTTGCTTTTTAACACTTTAAAGAGGTCTTTTGCAGTAGATTTGCCCAATGCAATGCGTTGTTTGGTTTCTTGACTGCTGCATCCATGGGTGTTGATTGTGGATCCAAGTAAAATGAAATCTTTGACAACTTTTTTTTCTTAATCTATTCCCTGATTTATTTAAACCAGTCTGTTAGATTAAGCAAGGTAAATTTGAAATCATGAAACAGTAATTCTCTTTAAAAGCTGAATGACTGGAATACATTTTAACAAGACTGAGGTTAAACCAAATCAAAACTTAATAAAAAGCATGTTATGACATTAAATGTCCATGTTCTTCTTTAAATTGGGTCGGTTTTAATGAGGGGAGAAGAGGTAAGGGAATGTGAATAGCAAAAGTAAGTCCATCTCTGCTTTCATTTCGTTTTACTCAGTTTCTATAATGGATGAATCCAGTAGAATTTTTCTCGTTAGTTTTCTTTGCTGCAAACATCTTAAATGTTTTGTTCTTCATGTTTAGTAAGAAGGACAGTCCTAGGTAGCACTGCTTTAACTCCTACTGGAGTAGCTAGGTTTGAACTGGATTGTAACAAAATCTGGAGAGTATCTTCTGGAATTATAGTTACTTCTGTAAGTGTAGTGTTCTAAGTGTTTAAGAAGATTCTTATAAGAAGAAATCTTAGGAGAAGAAGGATCCACAAGATTCTCAAAGCATTCCTTTGAATTTAAAACTAACGAACTACAGTCTTTCCTTTCCAAATCATTTGTTGAACTCTTTGTTTTTGATAATGGATAATCTGTGGGTACCAAAGCTGTACTGTTCTTTGTAGGAGGAATTTTCAAACCAGGGGTGCAGAATGTAAGTGCTAAGGGTGAATTTGAATACTCAGCATCATTTTTTATCTGACTACCAGATTATAGGACCAGGAAAGGCAAATAAATTATCATTGGTCATTGGTACTTTTTCTATGGCTTCATTTTTATTATTTTTCACAGTTTTAAGTCTCATTGTATAATCTTCGTTTAAATATGTATATCCAGAGATACCAAAGTGTTCCAATTTAGGAGTCATACACTCAAAATCAACCATCTTTAGTACACACTTTGGAGTTTTTATTTCTTTAGTTGATGATTGTTTAGTAAGTGGAGTGAAAATTGTTGGCTCTTCCTTATGGGTGATTTGTAGAAGTCCAAAATCTGAAAGCTGTGTTCTGCATGGAGATGTTGGAGATGTCTCAGAAATAGAACTACTTGGAACAGTAAGATCAGACAGATCAACCTTCATATCAGGGTTTTGAAGATTTTCAGAGTTAGCCAATTCTGGTTTAGAGTTAATGATTTCATGCTTATCCACTGAATTTTCTGTGGCTCCTAGATTATTTCCATACTTCTGGAAAAACTCTCTGTTTTCATAATATCCATTGAATTTCTTTTCATTAGTACTTCGGTTACCTTTATGAAATCAGTGTTTTCTTGACTTTCTAAGCTTGCTTTATGAAGAAGAATATTAACATTACCCTTTACAGTCTGTGCTTCTGAATGCAGGTCATGTAAAAGCTTCATCACAGAATCGTCAATTCACTGGGGTACATCTGTCCAACAGGTTTACTAACTTACTTTTCAAGCATGTTGCTCTTGGCAGTGACCCAAGGCTTCAGTTGTGGTAATAGTTGATGATGGTCATTATCACGATGGCGTACTGGACTGAGAATCACTTCTAGCCTGTACCCAGATCTCCTGTCTGTCCGAGGATTGTAGCTCCCATGCCTTATGAAATTGTTTGTAGAGGGGATTTATGTGAATATTCACTCTGGTCATCAGCAAGAGGGCTGGTCAACTTAATTCTGTATAAAAATCACCTCAATGTTGACAGTAAGTCACCATTAATACTACTGGAGCAATCCAAATGGCCCCAACCAACAGGTGTGATAGTGAATACACAGACTTAACCCATACCAAATCACTGCTTTCTGCGTAACGCTATGCTTCTCTTTTGATTTCAATTAGTGTAAGAGGGCAGAAAGAGGATTAGTATTCAAGGTGGGTTTCTCCAGTCTTGATGTTCACTTCTTTTAGTGCCTTTTATGCTGGAATATTCCAGAATGGTCTCAATGCTGGGCTGCACAGCAGTCATGGCACAGAGTGTTACCAGCACAAGACAAGGCAAAATGCTTGACTCTCATCAAGAGCTTCCAGTTTCTGTAGAGAGGAAGATGCTAGTGTCTATGGAAAAAAATGCTGTGAAAAGAAGGTGCAAAGTTGGAATCTGTGCTGGTTTTGTCTATATTTTACTCCTCATTAGGTTGGAAATTGTCAACAAATAATTCAACATGTTATGAATGGTGAAGCTATTTAATAAGTATGATGCTGTATCATTTTAGGTTAATAAGAGACTCCTACCTAGAAATGGCCCTATTATATTTTCATCTGAGAAAGCCAAAGAACAGACTTTCAACATCACCATTAATGTTTAAGGTAATAAACGGTTTTACTAGAAATTATAAGTTAATTGCAATTGAGCTTGTTGTTTTGATAACACTGTGCTATTGAAATAATAAGAAAGATTTTCCTGTGTGACTTGGAGAAATTATTTCATTATTTTATTTTCACACTTGTATTTAGATACCTCTTTGGACATTTTATGTAAGGATCTGGAAACAGATTTCATGTAAACATTCATGTGTGCTGAAATGTAGGTGCATGTAAATACTCTTAAGGCAGTGGGTCATTAATATTGATCAGGAAATTGAAGGAAAAGACATATTGGTTAAACAGATTGACAAATAAGGTTTTCAATACTGATATGACCTATAAACAGACCAACTCTTGATAGAGTCATTCATTCATTCATTCATTTATCACATATCTATTCAGCTCCTACTATGACCCAGGTACTATTTTAGAGCAAAGTGATAAAGCAGAGTCCAAGACAAACTCAGTCCCTGTTCTCATGGAGCTTACCTTCCTGTAGAGGGAGACAAACAATAAACCAATAAAGGAAGAAAACAAGAGGAGAAAAGGTGGGAAGGAATGAGGGAGAAAGAGGAGAAGGGAATAGGGAGATGATTTTAGTGAAATTTAGGGTTAAGAAATATCTTGGGTTGATAGGGCTGTGAACATCTATGGTTGGAAGAAGTGATGTTCACAGTGGGATCTAACGGAAGGGGTGGAAGCCACACAAAGAGCTATAGAGGTACAATCTAGAGTAAAAAATCCCAGTTGCCACTGAGTTGACACCGACTCATGGTGCCTCCATGTGTGTCAGAGTAGAACTCCACAGGGTTTTAATGGCTGATTTTTTGGAAGTAGATTGCCAGGCCTTTCCTCCATGGTGCCTCTGAGTGGACTCAAACCACCACCTTTCAGTTAACAACCAAGATGTTAACCATTTGCACCATCCAGGGACTCCTCAGTCTAGAGTAGGGCCTCTCAAACTAAGGTGCAGGAATGTCTCTGGGCATCTTGTGAATACGCAGATTCTGTAAATTAGAAATGGAATCTGAGATTTGCCATTTCTCACAAGCTCCCAGATAATGCTGCTGCTGTTGGTCTGCAGACCACACATGAGTATTAAGGATTTAGACTGAGGGAGATCATTAAGGCAGGAATAAGCTGGATGGGTTTGAGGTATGTAATCCCAGTTTCGTTTGTTTTTTATTTTTTAAATTTCAGTAGGCTTTTATATTTCATGCTAATTGAATAATTCTTTGACCCCAAGAGATCTTTTCAGAAAATTTTAGTGTCAAATTTTTAGTTTTTGAGGCAGCATAAATACAATTTAAAACCTTTAGGCAAACAGACTTTCAGTCAATTGAATTATTCATATGGTAGCTGCCGTAGGTGGATAGCAGTTATTACTTTTTTAATCTAAATGATTACAAACTAGAAAAACTTACTTTTTGTGGTGTGATAAACATGTTTCTTTCCAGTAAGGAAAAAAAACCACTTGGTTTTCATGGCAGGTGACAATGCAAATTAATAGTATGCTAGAATAATAACATGTCACCTTTTTGACCTTTACTAGAGAAGTGCTTATAATTAAGAGCTTGAACAAGTTAGGATTTAAACAAAAAGAATATGATAATTCCATACAATATGATCATTATTTTCTGTATATTGTGACACAGTATAGATATTTTAACAAGTCACACAATTACTAGGAACACAGAAAACGCCAAAAATAAACAAATAAAAATTTATCCAGACACATTCAGACCATTGAAGTATAATGTTTGAGATCTGTCCCAAAGAAGACAATGCATTATAAACCCTTAAAAGATAGCACTATTGTTTCCCTTTTATTGAGAGCCCATATAGCAGAGTACCCATTACATTGGCTTCTGTTTGCGTACTAGCTTAATGATACACTAGCTGTGTGATTTGGGACCTTTCTAAGACTTAGTTTCCACATCTGTGAAATGGAGATGATGATAGTTACGTCTTAGACTAACTAGGAGAATTAAACAAGATAATGGACAAGGCACATAATAAGTACTAAAAAAAAATGAAACTATTACTATCTACTACTATGTAAGTTTGGCTGAACATCTTCATTATTTCATTCTAAAGTATTTTGTACATAGTGAGTATTCAATAATTGTTACTTAAATTCATTTGACAAATTCTTGAATATTCATTTATTAATTCATTAACCAAATACTTATTCAGTGTTTATATGCCAGGCATATTGCTGTCTTTCCCTAAAGAGCACAGAGTCTAGCAAGGGAGAGAAATAATTATATTGCAGTGTGAAAAGGACCATAATCAAGGTATGTCAAGGTAGAGAAGTAGAGCAAAGCCGGGACTAATTCTGCTTTTAGGAGTGCTGGAGAAGGCTTCACAGATGAGTTGGGTTTTACAGGACAAGTAGGAGTTTCCCAAGTAGTTAAACTGGAAGAGGACAGTCCAAAGAGAGGGATCAGCAGGTACGCATTTTAAAAAAAGATTTATTGAGGTATAATTTTCATACCATGAAATTCACCCACTTTAAGCGTGCAATCTACAGACTTTTAGTAAATATACAGAGTTGTGCAACTATCACCACCATCCAGTTTTAGATCATTTCCATCATCCCCAAAAGATCCCTCAGGCATATTTTTAGTCAGTCCTCATTCCTGCACCCAGGCAACCACTACTCTGTTTTCTGTTTCTCTAGATTTGGCTTTTCTGGGCATTGCATATAAATGGAATCATACAATAATTAGTCTTTTGCATCTGCTTTTTTCACGTAGCATAATGTTTTTGGCAATCATCCATGTAGTAGCATGTATCAGTAGTTCATTCCCTTTATTGCTGAATAATATTCTATTATGTGGATATACCACATTTTCTTTATCTAACAGTTGATGTACACTTAAGTTGTTTCCACTTTTGACTGCTTATATGGATAATGCTGCCTTCAACATTCTTGTACAAGCTTTTATGTGGACAAATGTTTTCATTTCTCTTGGATAGGTACCTAAAAGGATATAAAAACTAAGAGGAATTGCTGGGTTATATGGCAACACAATGTTTAACCTCCTGAGGATTTGCCAGAATGTTTTCCAAAGAGGCTGCATCATTTTACACTCCTAACACCAAACCCTTTGTAGTTGAGTCAATTCCAACTCATAGACCCTATAGGATAGAGTAGAACTGCCCCATAGGGTTTCCAAGGCTGTAATCTTTATGGAAGCAGACTGCTACATCTTTCTCCTCCCTGCTAACAGAAAGGTTGGAGATTTGAGTCCACCCAGAGGTGCCTTGGAAGAAAGGCCTGGTAATCTACTTCTGAAAAATTAGCCATTGAAAACCCTATGGAGCACAGTTTCTACTCTGACACACATGGGGTCATGAGTCATAAATGACTCAACAGCAACTGGTATCCAGTGTCCTAGCACCATTTGTTTAAAAGGCTACCCTTTCCTCATTGGATTGCCATGACATCTTTGTCGAAAATCACTTCGTTATATAAATAAATGTAAATGTTTATTCTGGACTCTCAATTCATTTCATCAACCTATATGTCTACCTTTGCATGAGTATCACACTGTCCTGACTACTGTAGTTTTATAGTGAATTAGTAAAGTGGAAAGTGCATGTCCTCCCGTTAGGTTCTTCCTTTTTAAAATTGTTTTGACTACTTTTAGTCCTTTCCATTTTCATATAAACTTTCTGATCAGCTTGTGAATTTCTACAAAAATCTTGCCAGATTTTGATGGGGATTTTGTTGAATCTAGAGACGAATTTGGGAAGAATTACCATCTTATCAGTATTGAATCTTCCAGTCCATGAATATGAACTGTCTCTTCATTTATTTAGATCTTAGTTAATTCCTCTCAGCAACGTTTTGTACTTTTCAGCATACAAGCCCTTCACTTCTTTTGTTAAAGTTATTTCTATTATGAATGGAATTTTCAAATTTAATTTTTACATTGTTTACTGCTAGTGTATAGAAATACAGTTGATTTTTATGTGAAATTTTGTTTTTTGTTTTTTTTTATTGTACTTCAGATGAAGGTTTACAGAACAAATAGTTTCTCTTTAAACAATACACATATCGTTTTATGACATTGGTTAACAATCCCACGACATGTCAACACTGTCCCTTCTCAACCTTAGGTTCCCTATTACCAGCTTTCCTGTCCCCTCCTGCCTTCTAGTCCTTGTCCCTGGGCTGTTGTTCCCCATTAGTCTCGTTTTGTTTTATTTACATGAAATTTTGTGTTCTGTAACCTTGCTGAAGATGTTTATTAGTTCTAGTAGTGTGTGTGTGTGTGTGTGTGTGTGTGTGTGTTCGTTAGTATTTTCTACATATAAGATCATGTCTTCTGTACATAAAGACAATTTTACTTCTTCAAATCCAGACTAGATGCCTTTTATTTATTTTCCTTCCCTGTTCGCACTGGCTAGAACCTGCTGTACAGTGTTGAATGAAAGTGGCAAGAGTGGACATCCTTGCCTTATTCTACATGGTAGGGAAAAAACATTCAGTCTTTCACCATTAAGAATTACACTGGCTTAGGTTTTTGATAGATACCCTTTATTAGGTTGAGAAAATTCCCTTGTGTTCCTAGTTGAGAGTTTTTATCATAAATGGATGTTGCTTTGTCAAATAATTTTTCTCTATCTGTTGAGATGATTTTGTGGGAATTTTCCCCTTTATTCTGTTCAGATGTATATTACATTAATTGAATTTCCAATGTTAAACTAGTACTACGTTCCTAGGATAAATCTCACATGGTCATGGTATCTAATAATTTTTATATGTTCCTGGATTAGTTTGGTTTGCTAATTTTGAGGATTTTTGTGTATCCATATTCATGACTGATAGTGGTCTATAGTTTTCTTTTCTTGTAGTGTCTTGTCTGGCTTTGGTCTCAGAATAATACTGAGCTCATAAAGTGAGTTAGGAAGTATTCCTTCCTCTATTTTTTGAAAGAGTTTGTGAATTATTGATATTAATTCTTCTTTAAAAGGTTGATAGAATTCACTTG